CAAGAATGCAATGTGTACAGTTTATAACTTAGAGTTTGACCCAGCAATAAGTCTCTGAAAGGCGGGGAAAAGTTGTGTGGATAGAGGCAGAGCGCAGCGGCAGGCAGGCAGAGAGGAGCAGGCTGCGATACCCCCCCACCCCCACAGAGCGCACCCAGAGGAAAGGCTGCGTCACCTCACTTTGTAACCCAGGAAAGGAGCAGGAATCCTAGGTACGTGATTGTTAAAAGTGCATTAAACTGTTTTAATCCGACAGCCGCTGATGTGCACGGAAGTCTGTCCGTTTCGTTAACATTTGAAAAGCCAAATGGACGGAAATCCGTCCTACAGTATATGCGAATGAGAGGTTTGGAAATGCATGTGACCGTGGCTCATTCCCTGATAGGTGGAGAGTTGACCAATAAGCAGAGCACCTCTTTGTGACGTAGAAAAGTGTTGAAATCTGGATCCGTTTTTTTCAGATCCGTTGCAGCCCCTTTTTTAGAGATTTGGCTAAGGAGGAAAATAGAGAGGGTTGTGTTTTCTGACACTTGGTGAGTTCCCTGGAACACCGGGGACACATATTCATGTGTAAAAGATGTACAAAGGTGCATTTTGCATGATAGGTCACCTTTAAGTGCTCTGGACTTCAGTTTGTTTTGATTGGTCTTATGCTGGGAGTCCGTCTCTGGCGCTCCTGCCTGATTACCTTTGTCGGTCATAATACACGTTAAAATACACAAGATATGATTGTTGTGTAGTCAAAGATGGATCTTTCTGTGATCTTCTGATCTGACATTTAGATCATCTGAAAAGATGAACTCTTTTTGGTTACATTTTTCTAGTAGGTTGTTGCAGCTAAATTTAGACTTTAAATCTTAAGTTGTCATAGGGATACATGTGTTGAGCTGTGATATGTCTGGCGAAGGTCTCTGTGTTGTCCATGTTTTTCTTGCAAATTTGCTGCATATGTTCATTTTCTTTGATCTGTCATCTTCATCTTGTTTGTCATCATACCTGCCTCCTCCCCTTCTTTTTCTCCCATTCCCTCTGCTTTCACTCGCTTATATTCTCTTCCCTGGTTCCCCCCCTTGGTGTTGATGGTCTGTGTATGTCTGTGTATATTATGTCCATGTATTCTTCCATGTCCAGCTCCCCTAAGTGTACCTCCAGCTATAAAGCTCCACAGCCCCAAAACCCCAACCACTGTTACGGGATACTCCAGTAAGTTTTGGCCTGAGCTGGTCTCCTATTGGCTCCACTATCACAGTGTGCCCGCCCTCCCCACTTCACAGCCTGCTGCATTGATTGGTTAACAGCTTTGCATAGATAGATAGAGGTAGTGGTCTTAGGTTTTTGTTTGTTTTAAAAGCTGGCCTTGGGTGTTTTGAGGTTTTGGGGTTTTGCTTGATCTTGTGTCCTCACTAATCTGTCAATCATCCTGATTGAATTTTGCTCTTCCTTCACCCACTTTACTGATCTTGCTAGCCGCATTTGGAATGAGTTCCAAATTGAGTGAATGACCCCTCTGATCAAACGGGGAGACACCAGTCCGGGTCGGTGTCCTTCACGTCTTTCCTTGACCTCATACTGTTTTCCATCAAAGGGGTTATGTGCTATCTGACCCCATCCCCCATTAATGATCTTGATGTCATCAGATTGAGACACAATGTGTCGTTTGGTTACCTTTCCGGTACCGTTGGTCAGATGGTAGTTTAAGGCCAAACCCTCCTTGTGCTGTTTCTGTAACTCGGATTTGTTGGCCCTCCCATCATTGTATCTGCTCTAGAGCACCGTTCTCATCCACTTCCACCATCATTTGTGCTTTCAGCCACAGGGTGTCTCTGTCTACCAGAGCTGGTGAACCTGCTGCAGTGGGAGGGGCCAGACGAGTGATATTCCAGCCTGCAGCTTTGCTTTGTAATTCATGTCATTATAAAGGATCGAGGCGGACTTGATAAATGTATCTTTGTTCAGCCATTAAAATAAGTCTGCCAGTGATGCCAGCTGTGATTGTTGCACCCAAATTGACATAGTTTTGAATTGTAGCATGGCTGTATGGTGATGACCTTTTTAAGCACTTTGATCACATGTTTTCAAAAGACATGTCCAGAACAGTAATAAAGATGATTTCTGCATGGCTCGGCTCAAGTCTTCAGTTTCATGATTCCAGCAGAGCCGTACCATGCAGTGGAAACACTTTTCTAACAGACATAAGTTGCTCCTATGTGTTTCTGATGAAAGAGCTACTAAAGGTGCGTTTGCTGCCTCCAGAATTCTGGGAGCTTTAGCATTAAACCACACCACCAGTATCCATGGGTGGTGGTTCCGATAACTTGTAGAAAGAGCCCTTTGGACAATGCTCTCAGATCATGACCTAGAATATGTAGCAGGATAATTAGGACTACTAGGTTGGTCAAGCTACAACTCCTAAGGAAGCAAAACAACTCTACTTGTAAAAAGGAATTGGGATAGTTCTCTTTGGTTGTATATTCAAGCGTGTGGTGTGAAAGATTAGCGTGGGAAACAGATGTAAATGAAAATAATTGGTAGTCTGGATTTTTCTGCTGACGTGACAAGTTTAACTTCCCCATTCACACTTTAACTAACATGACAACAGGAGGAGACGCAACCCCAGCCTGTCTGCTCATTCACTGTGTGTGGTACTTTCCACCCTGCATGCCCATCAAAACTGTCAGTTTACCAAATGAGCAGCAGGCTCCTGGTTCCAAAGCTCATCTGTATTTATGTTGATATTCATGTCAACAAATATAATCACATGAAAGAATAATTGGCAGTTAAATATGGAAAATATATTCTATTAACATGAATCTATAAAGCTTCACGTGGTGTGCAGTTTGAACATTTTGCAAGCGGTTGTCTTTGATCTGGTAGGCTAAGAGGTTCATATGCAACTAGAACGGGAAAAGCATTATTCAGTTCAGGTAACTAAATGCAACAGCTGTATTTTCTCCCATCCTTTAATCCTCCCCCGTCTCTCCTCCTCTCCTCAGTGCTGGCGTGCGGCAGACCTCAGGCCACAGCAGTCTATAAGGTGTCGGAGTACGCCCGGAGGTTCGGGGTGCCGGTCATCGCTGATGGAGGCATCCAGAATGTCGGGCACATTGCCAAAGCCCTGGCACTGGGAGCATCCACTGGTATGGATAGAATGGGTGTTATAGAATCATAATAAAAATCAAACATTAACATCTAAAGTGAATAAGGGTTTGTTAGTTTTTCCGATGTGGTAATCCATGTTACAGAGAGGATTAACAGTAGATTTTCAGATTTGGATTATGATGGTTGCTAGACATTTTGAAAGCCTTTGAGTAGTCATCGTTCATTTCAAATGTTATTTACCTGTCACTCCCCACCCGGTCTCTCTCTGTGCAGTGATGATGGGCTCTCTGCTGGCGGCCACCAGTGAAGCTCCTGGTGAATATTTCTTCTCTGACGGCATCAGGCTGAAGAAATACAGAGGCATGGGCTCCCTGGATGCCATGGACAAAAACCTGGGCTCTCAGACCAGATACTTCAGGTACAGATACTGGGCTAATACACTGTAATATTAATAGTTAGCACCCTAGTGATGACAGTATATCTCACACTCTCCTCAGCCAGAAAGTTTTTTTCATTGTCTTTTCCCAGATGGCAACACTTCTTCCTCATTGAGTTTTCAGTGGTTTGTAAAACATGACACATGTCTGCCTTGTGATAAAGAGTGATGAGCCTACTTCCTCTCCCCTTCACAGTGAGTGCGATAAGATCAAAGTTGCTCAGGGTGTTTCTGGAGCGGTGCAGGACAAAGGCTCCATCCACAAGTTCGTCCCCTACCTGCTGGCTGGCATTCAGCACTCCTGTCAGGACATCGGATCCAAGAGCCTCACACAGCTCAGGTACTACACAGGCAGGGATACGTTTCCGTTATGCATGAGTGGGCAATTCAATCAATTGTTATGCAACCCTCATGTCTGCGACAAAGAAAAAGTGTCAGAGAAAATACTGTACAATCAATTGCCGTAACATTGGCATGAATGTACACTAAATCATAAAATATAATGTCAAAAGTCTTATTTGTATGCCATTTAAATGCCATAAAAATCTATTTATTGTTGTAATGCCTTGATAGACCACATTATATCAGCCCAACTAAGCTGCAAACTAGTGACTAACAACGGGGATTAGTTGTGTTCTGTCAATATGTCAAAGTAAAGTTACGAAAACAAGATGGCTAGCATCCTCCAAGCTGCTAATGCTTGTTTACACTTTTGTAACTAGTATTCGGCCCCTGTCATCTTCTTCCTGACGATTTCATTGAAGGCGGCAAACCTCTGAATAGTCATGCAGCCTGTCCCTCGGCCAGGTCACGTCAAGATGTTATGACTGTATAATTGAGTGACTATTGTAACAGACAAAATATTGCGTAGTCTGAACCAGGCATGAAATGGTGAACACTTGCTGATGATTGGATCAGATGACTTACTGATCCAGCTCACTGCTTTACTCTTGGTACTTGCCCAGTGTTTGTCTTCGTCTTGATGTCTGGGATGTGTAACATTTCCTTCCTCCCGACAGAGCCATGATGTACTCTGGAGACCTGAAATTTGAAAAGAGAACAACTTCAGCTCAAAACGAAGGTGGAGTCCACGGCTTGCACAGGTACACATACAAACACACATGTATGGAACTTGTTTTACTTGCTTTTATAATCCAATATCTTAAACAGTTCTTAGTTTCATGTGTCGCTCCAACCACAACAAGTTCCTCTTTAGTGCCTCCATTCTGTCTAACAGAAACCTCAGGAGTATCATGAAAGCTGTGATGTTTCTGACCAACTCCTCTTTGTCCCACAGTTATGAGAAACGACTGTTTTGAGAAGCATCGAGCTGTGCTGCCTGCTGATGGAGACAGACACATTATGCAACTGCACTACATGCCTGACCCTGTTAGTCATTCTCTACACACACTACTAAAATCTCATAGAAATTGTCTTTAAGAAAAAGCTCTCACTCTTCCAACGATCGAAGTCTTCCTGCCAGTGCCATCTATGCATTGTCTCTGTTCAGTGTAGTCGTGTGAAGGCGGGGAACTAAACATGTATCAACAGTTTACGTGTGATTGTTTCCTCCAAAGCCTTCTATGTTCTGATTTAAAGTAAATGTCTGGCGTGTCCATTTTAAGGCAAAAAAAGCTGTCTGATAATAAAGCCTATGTGTTTTTCCACAAACAAGTTTTTGGTCACTTTTTGAAGATCTGTGTTTTTCTAGTACTTTTTATATTCTATACAGAGTTGATCATATAATGCAGAGACAATTCCTCAACTGCAGAGAGAGGCATATCAGAAGAAGACATGCTGTCATGAGTAACAATTACCAACAACCCATTAAATGTATATTTACAAAGCTTACCTTTTTATTTGAAGCGACTTGCATACACCCGATACCGTAGACATGAGCATGTATGTTCTGTTTGTCTCATCAAGGATCATGGTATTTAACTTGTAGATTGCAAGGAGACGTGGCTACAATCCATTTAGACACTGTTTTTTTAAGTCAAAGCTCTAGCTACAGAGCCAAACCAAAAGGTATTAGGACAGGCTTTCTTATTACGTCTCACACAATAAATGTGTCGTTTTCAAAAAATGTGTAGCAGACTTTAAAATGTAAATTTGATAAAAAATGTATTTATTATACATTTATTTTGCCAAGGAACTTTCACAATGGATGTAGTATGTCAAAGAAAAGCATTCAAAAGGTATGAGAAAATATCACTTCATTTTGAGGCATGCCTAACAAGTATTCTTTTTTTTTAACGTACTGTTTCTTTCAAATTATTTGAAATATGTTATCTTTTTCGTTACATTTTCGATGTACTACACTGTCGTTTTTTGCATATTTTTGACATGGTAAGTTTTTTTTTTTGCACATTTTCAACACTGCATGCAATATTTTTCTGTTTTCGGTATTCTGAAAATGTCGACATACTATACTTTGTTTCTTCCAAAGTTTTCAGCATACCATACTTTGTTTCTTTATGATATTTTCAACATACTATGATTTTTTGATTTACTATTATACTAAACAGTTTGTTTGCATACATTTGTCCACATAATTTCAACATACTTTATAATGTTGTCTTTTTAAAAGATTCCGACATTCTAATCTATGTTGTTTTCTGTGATATTTTCTACATATACTATTTTCAACCTATTATATTATGTTTATTTTAAAGACATTCTATACTATGTCGTTTTTGTGATAGTTTTGACATACTATACTATATATTTTTGGCATATTTTTCTATTACCGTTTTTGACGTATATGGTTTTATGCTATTTTTAAGACATACTTTTCCATGTCTTTTTCTTTTGATATTTTCAGATTACGATATATTATATATAGTTTTTCCTTTGATTTTTAAAAAAGTATTATACCATAAATTTTATTCGATATAAGACTATGTTTTTTCCCCCAACATCTTTTCAGAAATCTTTGACATACTCAATCACATCTTCGCTTTGACATTTTCTATTATGACTTTTTCTGGCTAAATGATCATATAAATGAATAGTATAGTGTGTTAAAGAGAAATATCATTAATACATACCAAAACATGCTAAAATGCCATTCTACTATGCCGTCAAAAGTAATATTACAAAAAATAACTGCATTGTATGTTGTAAAAAGTAATCAAAGTCATATTAGAGTTATAAACAACGAATCAAAAATATATTCTATTCCTTTAAAGAAGTAATAGAATGTCATTAGGTGATTACAAAGAAAAGCATCGTATAGTACTTTTAAAAATAATATTATCCTATACATTATATAGTACAGTATGCAAAAATCACACTAAAGTATGTTGTAAATAAGTAAGTCAAAAGTCAAAGTATGACCAAAGAAATAATAAAATGTCAACAAAGGTCACAGCCGAGTTGAAAAATAATCATTGTACTGTTTGCCAGAAAAGGTCATGAAAAAGCTCATAGTGTAATATGCCAACAAAACAGTCAGTATTCCATCTTCCATTAAGATGTCTTTAAAGTATAGTATTCATAGTACAATTGACTCAATATGCTGTCCACCACTTCAAATATAGGGAAACTACACATTGAGACACTTGAAAAATGACTGCAAACGCCGACTGGTCAAATTTTAACACAAGTAAATACTACCTAACATATTGCAAATAAGAGCTTACTGTACATTTTCAAATGTTTAGCTGGCCGGCTGTACACTGACTCAGATTTTTAACAGAAATGAATTATCTGGCTCGTTTAAGGAAAAATAACTTTCTAAAATGTGTGTTAAAAATAATCAAGAACTGTATTACATGCTAACTTTGTTAATACTTTGTTAAACTAAAACTGTGAAGTGAGTTTCCGAGAAGATAAACCGTTATCATTAATAGAACTGTGCAACGTGGCATTCATTTTCACATTCCCTTTGGAGAACAGCAGTTGGTTGCCGGTCCATCCAATCAGATCATACCTGTATTTCTGCTGAGCTGTTAATTACTGAAGGAGATTGAAGGACAAAGCGTGGGAGGGGCCCCCCGGTTCCCCCCTTACCTGCCCGCTGCAGGGGGTCTCTGGGGAGGATCAGGTACCCTCTGAATCCACCGGACTTTCCAGGCTGACACCCAGACGGACCGATGGGACTGCTGCGGTCACACTCTGCTGCTCACACCTGCTCACACACACACACCTGCACACACACACACACACACACACACACACACACACACACACACACACACACACACACACACACACACCACACACACACACACACACACACACACACACACACACACACACACACACCTGTCTCTAAACAAAGAGGATTTAAAACATCTTAATCCTTCACATATGACAGCAATGTTAAATGCAAAGTCATTCAAAATGTCCAAAAATGAGAAAACGTAGTCATGTCAAAG